AATGTCAGCGCTTGCGTGACGCAGAAAGTGTTCGCCGACTGGCTGCAGGGCTGTTTTGTTCCTGAGGTGGACAAGCACCAGCTGTCGACGGACTCCGCCAGTCGCGTGCTGCTCCTGGCGCAGCCCAGCGCTGGCCACCACCTGACCGAAGAGCTGAAGTCGGAGAGGGTGGACGTCAAGGCGCTGCCAGCAAGCACAGCGTCATTGACCCACCCTATGCACCAAGGCCCCATTGCCACGCTGAAGGCGGCGTTCCGGGAGAGGTTGGTGCGGAGATTGCACGAGGCAAACGACGTCATCGAGTTCTATCGGGACTATGATCTGCGAGACTGTGTCAACTTCTGCGCCGAGTCCTGGGCAGAGCTGACCGAGTGCGCCCTTCGTAGCGCCTGGATGAAACTGGTCCCTGTGCTCCGACTAGAGGAGGCGGAGACCCCGACAACCACCAGCCACGAGGAGGCCCTGGTGGAGATGGTTCGACTGCTGCAACCCCTCGCCAAGGACATCGCCATCAAGGATGTGTCCGAGTGGCAACACCAGCTGACACTGTTGGAGGCCGGCTACGTTCCTTGCAACGCCCACGACGATGTCATGCAGGAGCACGACGCCGTTGACACAAGTGATGACGCCGATGCTCTTGTTGTAACAAATGCCTTTGCGGTTTTAAAAAAGTGGGCTTCTAAGAAATCGAGCAAAGCAAAATTTCAATTTGATGAATTGTTCAGTAGTTTTTACCTTTAATCCAAAATACTGATTAATTGTGCCTGTACTGTTATCACTGCCAAGTTTACCACGTAGTTGTTGTTTTATTTTAAATCGAACGTACTGTAAGTATCACACACAACTGAATAAAGATGCAATATATTACTCCATATTCCTGTGTTCTTTTTATTTTGGATCTACGAGGTGCTTCCTATTTTTATTTTTTTCATGACCGACTTTGCAGTCACAGGGGTCAGTCAGTCAGCCAGCCAGTCAGTTAGTCACCGCACAGCCTGAAAGCTTGTACGTGAAAACTACTCAGTCACTGTAGTCAGTTAGTCAGTCAGTCGATGTTTGTCGTCTCGTGCCGACCGCCGCTTGGTGACCGCCGCCCCGCGCCGCGCCGTCGTGCTTTCTGTGCGCACTTTCAAAGTTCTAGGCTTCGGATGAAAATATCAAAATTTCTAATGAACGTAGTTTTTGACGTGCATTCCATGTTTCTCGTGTGGCTGAACGTACTCGGTGTGTTTAACGTCTGTTCAGTGTCGTGTGGAACGTGAACGTGATTTCTGTAGTGCAGTGTGTCGGCGTAGCTCCAAGTTTGTATTAGAAACGTGAGAAACTACTCGTATTAATAACTAGAGGACGTCATGAATCGTTCAAGCGACGGCCTATGTCACCTTCAACCGCTTCAGGACAACTTTCTTTGTCGGTGACATAACCTACATTACAGGCAAGTTCATTGTAGACGATTAGAGGGCGATGTACTGATCAGACTTGAAATCATGTTTGAAACAACCCATTGACACCAAACCTGAAAGGATTTCTGTGTCCAGTGATTGAGTATTTTGATGGAAAACTCTGGTATGACTGTCATTGTTGCGAGTTCGTAATAGAGCAATGACATTTCATCAAAGACGAACAGTTTTACATTTGCATTGGAGTGGCCAATGGTACTTGTAGTTCTGTATTGTTTTTGAATACTTATGATCTAGAATGAACCTAATGAGGTGTGAAAGGTTTGCCGTATTAGTCTCTCAATTATTTTCGCAAGATCAGTTTACTCACCAGATTGACATAATGGACTGTGAAACTCGCTTTATTAGTAGAAACTCCTGTGGGTTACTATGTCGCTCTTTTCAGTTAAATTTAGATAGTATTCTTTCGCACTTATACTTAAAAATGTTTGAATGCATCGTCATAATACATCATTGTCGAAAAGTAGCAAAGCTCGAATAAGGAGGTGGAGTGGAGGGGAGGTGGGGAAGAATAGGAAAGGGGCAATCATATATATGTTCTGTGAATGAATTCTAGTGGAATATATTAACACATTTAAGTCTTCAATTGCTGTCCCTCTGTACCCCTACAAAACTTGCCAGTGCAAACTCTTTACTCGCATGACATCCTGTGCAATAACTTTTTAAATGATTTGTTGACGGACTTCCAAATCTATTGCATTTGCATCATAATTTCTCAAGTTTACTTATCACACCTGTTGTGAGCAGGCCTTGGGGAGAGGGGCGGGGAGTCGATTACAGCGACTCGACCAGACGCTGGTCGAAGGTTTGGTGGGGGGGGGGGGGGCGGTACCCAGGAGGTTTGCCGTTCAAACAAATTGCCGACATCTTTCGGCTCATTCACTAGACGGTTCAGATGGAAAGGGGAAGGGGGAGTCCGTCCTCCCTCGCCCCCGTCCTGGTGTCGCAACCAAGTCGAAGAGAATGGGTTGCCTACCCACCAGGCGTTTCGTCCGGTTTCAACTTTTTTTTTAGCATAGTCATATGTTCTGTTTTAACGCTTCGCTCTTCGCCCCGCTACCCCCCGCGCATAGCAATAATGCAGGGGGGCCAAGGGTGAGGTTGTTGAGACGACCAAGGACTTAATGGTCCTTGGAGACGACGACGACGACTTACAGTTTTTAGCGGTGTCCAGGCTATGACTTTACGTTGGATTGCCTATGCAGGGGCTGTCGGCGCGGGGCGGGTAGGGCAGAGTGAGAGGGGCAGCTCTGCTCCCCCCCCACCACGCACCACTCCCCCGCCTGCGCCCCCGCGCCTGCAGCCCTTGCATAGGCAACCCAACGTACAGCCATGTCTTCGCTTGGATTGACTTGTCTATTTGCAAAGCCACTGTTTGCCCAAGGTTTCTCAGTCCGGCCGCGGACACCTGGTACATAATACTAGATATGAATGTACTCTGTGTTATGTATATCATTTGCTTGGTCTCGGAGCGGGTTGTTTAGTACTTCAGCGTCCGTCGGCAAATCAAACATGCTTGAGGAAACAAATGGTCAGTAAGTACTACCGTTCAGGTTTCCCGCAGAGTCCCCTTTTCTCTCGATGTGGGTGGAACTGATAGAGCAGAGCGAGGATGCTGCGCTGCATCTTGGTTGTTCCCTATCCCTATACGCGCCCCTCGGACGTGTGCGTGTGTGTGTGTGTGTGTGCGCGCGCGCGTGGGCGCGCTGCCTTTGATGTCGCACTACCCCTCACCCACCGCAACACACGGCGCACAGTCCCACCTTGCGCACCACACTATTCAGACGGGCGGTCGGTCGGTGGAGAGAGGGGCTTGCACATCTCTCTCTGTCCCTGCCCCTCCCCACAATGCGCTTGTGCATTTCGCGAATAGTTCATTGTTAGGCCCGTCCCCTCCTGATGCGTCGTTCCTTTGAGAGTCCCTCCGGCCGCCCGGGCCGCGGATGAGCAGTGCGCGCCGATAAGGGAGGGCCATGGAGGCCGCCTGAAGCGCAGCTCGCAGCTCCGCCCGCCTCATCGAGCGGAAGTAAGCGACACCATGACGTTCCCACACGAATTTGTCTCGGCGCCAATAATGTATTCAAATGCCTTGTAACGCGAGCCGCGGCGCCGCGCTGCCCTCTGTCAACAGGACCGCGGCCGCCGAGGCTCCGCGATGACGGCGGCGGCGGCGGGCGGGAGCCTCGCGCCGGCTAATCCCCGCCGCCGCCGCCAGGACAGCGTGTTGTTCTTGCCTTCTTTTCGCGCGTGTCAGGTTGAACACACGCGCCCCCCGCCGAGCCCCGCACCGCGCCCTGGCGCGCGCTTTAATCATAGGACGTGCCTGTTTGCGTTTCGGTGCTACTGACGTCGTTTTCAATCGCTTTATAGCTTGCTGGCTTCTCCGCGAGCCCCCCCATGATATAATACGCGCGCTCTGTTTTCTCCCCAAGGTGAGGACAACGCTCGACCATTTAACCCCCCGCGCCCGCGCCCCCTCATCCCCTCTTCTGGTGTTCATTATCATCTGAATGCACTCGGACGAACATAAATTGATTTCTCTTTTGCATGTTTTGCGCGCATGCGTGCGCTTTGGCGGCGGCGGGCTTGCATTCTCGCTGTCGTCTCGCGTCCGTCCCAGTTATGACCGTTTCCGGCCACTGTTCTCTTTTACCCGCGCGGACGCCGCCGAAAGGCGTTGCAACCCCCCTCCCCCCGAATG